GTACAAAAGTTTAAAACTATTAGATTGTAGTTATTTAATCATTTTGATTTAATTTTGTCACCCTTTGGGGAAATGGGTTTTTTAAAATGTACTTCTTCCCTGGATTAATTAACCATTTGTTTAAATTGATTTAGATTTTTATGTCTAGGTGTACTCTGATGTGTGAAAAAACAACAATACCCTATTTCAGCCTGCTCTCTTCCTTCTGTCAAAAAACTAATGTAAGTTCCCCAAATAGGCAAAGTTGTCCTCTATATGTTTTATAAACTGAAACGCAAATCTTCCAGACATAGTTAAATCACGATAAGTCAGCGGCCAGTGACGACAGATACTTCACAGCAGCTGAGTGTTAGTTTTCCTCTCAAGAAATTCCAGAAAACAAAGTGCAAGCCAAGAATTTTATATAAAGCCAAAATGTCCTTCAAGCAGCCAAACTATAATTTTAAGCATAAAAGAATTCAAGAATACCGTAGAAAAATTGATTCTCGAGAAATACATGAGAGGATCATTTCATCAAATCAAAGAGATAACTAGAGAGACTTCAGCTGAAGGAATGATGGTGAGTATGGAAGATATTCAGCTGCAGAACTGAGACTAAGATAAGAGTGAGGACAGGTGGGTGGAAGGACAGCATGTAAGTGTATGTACGCTGACCGACTGAAAACGGATGGAGAAAGGCGAGGAAGGGGCAAGCAGAATGAGAGTATAGATTTCTGTGGAGACAAAAGGTAGGTGACAAGGGGTACCACTTAAACTGACAAGCCAGATAGTAAATGGTTTAGTAAGAAGAGGAAACATTATAAAAGTTATAAAGAAAAAGACAAGCACTGGAACAGAGATACAAAGCTTCTTAACCACAAAAGAAATTTTTAAAAAAGAATTAAAGACACCAAATAGAGAAAGAAATACAGCAGATATAACATCATATACACAATAGCTATAAAACAAAAATGCGAAGTTGTGATTAAACATATCTGTCCTATCAATAAACATGAATGGGTTTAGCTAGCGTATTTTAAAAAAGACTTTCAGGTTGACTCAGAAAGCAGTTTGACTGACAAGGCTATGCTATGCTACAGTTTAGTTTTGTTTCAAATAGTCACAAATACATAAATTGTAAGCGTGCCAGATGTATGGAAACAATAGGAGAGTATGGCTTGGTATCTTATTATGAGACAATAGAAATCAATTCAAAATGTAGTAAAGAAGACAAAAAACGACATTTTACAATAAAAGCTAAAGATTCGTAAATCATAATGAAGACACAACAATTATGAATGTTTACGCACCACTAAAATAAGGTTGAACTACAAAATAGGATGTAAAGATGTACAAGGAAAAAAAGTGAGTAATAATAAAACACTTTAACACAACATTCGCAGCACAGGACAGGCCAAGGAGACTAAAATAAGTCACGACTCACCACACTGAGACACCACAATCAATAATGCAGACTTTATGGATTTA